TGGCACAATGCACTCAGACAAGTACTGGTCTCCTGGCAACCATCAAACCCAGACTCGTCCATTGGATTGCCAGACGGAGAGGTATGTTTCGTCACCTCCAGAAAACATGGTGATGGTGTGTTTTACACTACTTTATCCAATGCTTTGCACCATGCTTGGTGATGTAAGGCTTGGATGCAGCTGGTTGACCATGAAGCTCGCTACACTCTGTTCTTGAGCTAATCTGAAGGCCAAATGAAGTCTGTAGCGATCGACTCTGAAGAAAGTTGGCGATCGCTGTGCACTGTGCACCTTAGCACCTGCTGACCCCGCTCTGTGATTTTTACCACGTTGCAGCCGAGTTGCTAATGTTCCCAACATTCCCCATCATTTCCACTCCGTTATAATACCACTAACAGTTGACTGTGGAATATTTAATAGTAAGGACCTCTCACAACTGGACTTGCACAGGTGGCATGCTATCACGGTACCATGGCACAACATCACCAGATTGTGAGATCCTTATACAAATGTTTGTAGAAGCAGTCTGCATGAGTAGGTGCTTCATGAGTCTTCTACACCTGGGGCTAAGGAATTGATTGGAACACCTGGATTCAATGATTTGGATGGGTATGAATATTTTTGGCAATACAGTGTATAAAGCCAGCTCACTGATTTGCTTTTCCACTTTGTCTTTGAGTTTTCTCTCTTTGACTGCGATTTAGGTGGCTTCCTTTCTCTTTAACCCTCCTTCATTTACTTCGTAAGCACCAAAACGAGTCACAAAGCAGGGACGCAACCCCTTTAGAGTGTTGTAATAAAATAGCCTGTCAATTACCTAAAGGAACCGATGTGATATATTGATTGACTGTTTTGACCCAGCCAAAGTTTTGCACAGTTATGGTCACAGACGCACTTGCTAATGTGAGGCGAGATGCAAGCTAAAGATACATTTCAATGATGGCATTTTCAGTATGTATTAAATCATTTCCATAGAAATTGTGGCAGTGTAGTATTCGTCAGTTTTTATGGCCACAATAATCGTGTTGTGAGAATGTGACAGCCCTGTGACTTTGCATGTGTTTTCATGCCTCTGAAAAGCTGTTATCAGACACAGCAGTCCCACTGTTCCCCTCCTATACACCCTCCCTGGCACAACTCCCTTTAGCTGCTTGCTCACATGACCCTCCCACAGCGTTGCCTTCCTTTACTTTTAGCTTGGCCTTTCTCGCCTCTGAAAAGCAAAGGCCTGCTCCCTCACCCACCCCGGACTCTGCCATTGTCCATTGTTGGCAGCCCGGTGAATGTATTGCCAAGAGTGTGGCTTCATCCAGGAGCTTGGGCCAAAATTTAGCAAGACAAATTGTAGCCAAGAGAAAAGATAAGCCTGTTTTTCCCCTCATCTTCCCTTCTTCACCATTGTTACTGCCTTCTTGATTAAGTGGCTGACTAAAACCCACAAAGAGAGTCTGCAAGCGTAGTCTCAATGCAGCCTAAAAAGCAGAAAGGGACATGAATGGAAGTTACTGTATGTAAAGGCTAAATGTCACACATAGCAATGAATGGCCTTCCGTTGCCTCTAACGGTCCTAATTTTTAAAAACAACCGAACATGTCACATTTGCAGATGTCTCAAAGACCATTCAAACTTCATATAAAAGCACACACATCCACGTCCCTGCAGGATTTACTGTAGATTGTTGCTTAGCTGCTAGCTGGACAGCTAGCTACATAAACACGTCAAGCTTAGTGGCACAATAAGCAGTCTTTTTTTGAACTTGGCGAAAAAATAGCTGAATGCACCCGGGAGGTATTTCCTGTTGTTTGTGTGTGT